AAAAAAAAAAAAAAAAGAAAACAAAGGAAAATAGAAACAAATTGGTGCCTGTCTTTTTATAGCAATGACTACTTAATATTTATCCACATATATACGAATGAATTGAAAAAACAAGAAAAAGCCTCATCCGTGAAAATTTGCATTTCCAAGAATATGTTCCTTTTTAATGTTTAATAATTATGAACCATGTACAGTATTATATTTTTGTTGTTATGAATCTGTTTCCTACCACTAATGGTTGTGATGGTAACTCCATCCAGGAAATTGCTTTTAAGCAGTTAGAGCCCTAGGCTCATAGGAAATCTTACAGAATGGAATTGAAATGTATAAATATATTGAAGAGAGGTACGTTAAGGAATCAATAATAGACTCTCTAGCCTAAACTATGCGTTGCTCCAGGATCACAGTCTGCGGGGAAATGTAATTAAATACAAGTTGGAGTAAAAGGAATGAAGCGAATTTTTTGACTTTTGAAGGAGAGCTTGCCTGTGCCTTTCGGTGTGTGTAGAGTATAACTCAGAAAAGTGCATGAAACACAAATGTGCATCTCCGCTTATCTGAACTTTTAGGTGGGTAGTGGTGGGAGTCAAATCCCTGTGCTGCTTGGATACATACGAATGACTGATCAAACAGTTGTTTAAACTGTTTATGTGCTAGAAGTGAGATCGTTTGCAGCTCCATAAACTTAGATGAAAGCCTTTTAAATGTCAAGTTCAAAATGAGTGATGGGGGAGCCTAGTTTTTCAACATTTTTATGGTGGGACACTCAGGAAGTCTTTTGTTCTGTGTTGTCTTAATGCTTCCGACCAGGCATTCGGGGGTCCTGTTCTGGTTTACTTTTAGGCCAGAAGCCACTCTAAGATTTATGGAGCCAAAGGCAAAAAAACAAAAGGAAACAAAGAAAAAACAGAGTGTCTTCAGGAGATGTAAGCATGGATTTGGGAGCATTAAAACACAAACATTTAAGACATAACTTCTTAAAACTACCATCAGACCAGTGTATTATGGTGTTCACTTAACCGTGAGGATCTAAAATAGTTTTACTCCCCCCCCAATCCTCACCTGAGGATATGTTTAGAGAGAGGAAGGAGAGACAGTGAGAGAGAAACATCAGTCGGTTGCCTCCCATGCGCGCCCCAGCTGGGGATAGAACGCACAAGCTGGGCGCGCGCCCTGACTGGGAACCACACCCACAGCCTTTTGGTGTGCAGGACGACACTCCAACCATCCGAGCCACCCAGCCAGGGTTAAAATAGTTTTACTTGTGATTTTTAAAGTAGTTGGTAGGAAAAAAAAGATCCTAAAAGTTATTTATGTGTTTTTGATCAGAATAGAAGTCATTTGCGTTTCTAAAATTGACCTTGAGTATGAGCTGGTTGCACAGAGGAGCTCCTGGCAGGTCACCGGATACATAGAGAGAAGTCAGAGCATAACGTGGGAGACAGCTGGGACTCAGACTCGGGAAACCTCAGTGGCACTGGTGGCTAGGGATGGAGTCTCATAAATGTTTCCCAAACTAGGGACAGGCAGCAGAGCCTAGGTGTCCTGAGCTGTAATGATCACTTATACTTATCAAAGAATAATGTATATTTAATGTACCTAATCTGTTGGCTAGGACAGTGGGCGATTTTGCCCCCCGGGGACGTTTAGCATGTTGGGCTGTCGCAACTGGCATCTAGTGGATAGAGGCCAGGAATGCTGCTAAAACCCCACAATGTACAGAACAGCCCCCAAAAAGAATCATCCAGCTTCCAGCGTCAGTGGTGCCAAGCTGAGAAGTCCTGGTCTAGAGAATTCTGATGTATCACCTCTAGCCACAGAGTGGAATGTATAAAAATGCAGATGTTTTTCAAGTTTAAAAAAAAAAAAAAAGAGGAAAGCTCCCTTGCCTCTCCCCCTCGATTTCCAGAGGTCACCAGTGTCAACCCTGAGCATGATCCTTGGAGAATTTTTGTTAATCACTTACAAAGTGTCAGGATAGCTAAATGAACCATAGTGCCCGGTGTCTTAAGGACTGTATTTCCTCAACACAGCTCTGAGTTGCTTTAATAAACATCTCAAGAAAGGGAAAAGCAGCTGTTGGTCAGTTGACTGGGGTCCCATTGCACCTTGTACAGGTGCAATGTGATTGTATAGTCAGTCGTGCATATGTTTATGTATGTGTCATATGTGCATTGAAATACGTATGTAATATGCTGCAGTGACATATTTATACAGTATTTACTTGTGCATCGAAACACATGTTCTTGTAAGAGAAATTTCTGGCACAAAGGGTCATACGTATTTTAAACGTGCTGAACAATATGTTTTATAGTTTGTTTTTCACATTAGCAGGACCTTGGAAGCATTAATCAGCTCTCCTCCAATGATGCCTCTTAAAACCCATTTGCTTGTCTGTCTCCTGATTCCTTTAATCACCCTCCAAATCTCTAGCAATCACTGTCTTTATCTTCTCAGTGCCCGGGTTTGGCCTTGGTTTGGCCTAAGGCATGAAATTATGGGGAGAAATGTTACCAGTAGATAGAAAGAGGATAGTCGTCATTTTCCGCTGGAGTCCCAGAGTAATACAACCTTAAAGCTGGAGAAGATTTTAGATGGTGATGATAACTAACATTTAATGAACCCTCACTGTGTATAAGGTGCTCTAGCAAGCACTTGGTGACCATCTAATTTTCATACCAGCTCTATGAGGTGTATACCAGGTGCTATTATGTACCCCCACTTTGCAGATGAGGAAACTGAGGCCAGTATCTATAAGATGTTCAGGATTGCACAGTGAGCGGAACTGAGATTTGAACCCACAGTCTGACTGTAGAGCTCCCCCTCTTAATCTACCATGCCTTCTAGCTGAAGTCTGGTCCAGCTGCCTCTGTTTACAGACAGGAAAGAAATCCAGAGAGAGTAAAGGGCTTATCCAGAATGGAGAATTGCCAGGTAAGGGCAGAGCCAGCACCTGAGAAGTCAGGGTCTGCCAGCATTCAGCTGTGTGACCTTGGCCAAGCTCCTTAGTCTTGTTGGACCTCTGTTGACTCTGCTGGGAGTTGAAGACATTGGACTGATGTTTCTTTTTTGTTGTATATTTTTTCCATTGATATTTAGATTTTTAGAGAGAGTGGAAGGGAGAGAAGGGGGGAGGGAGCAGCGAAAGACAGAGAGAGAGAGAAACTGATGTGAGAGAGACACATCGATTGATTGCTTCCCACACTCACACTGACAAGAGCTGGGGATTGAATCTGCAACCTAGGTGAGTGCCCTTGACCAAGAATTGAACCCGAGACCCTTTGGTCCACAGGCGCTGATGCGCTAATCACTGAGCCAAATCGTTCAGGGGCTGGACTGATGTTTCTTTAAGGGCTTCTTGGATCTGCACATTTCAAGGGGTGAGCTCCAGAGAAAGTCAGCATGATCATTTTTGTCATAAGGCTATTGTGAAGTGTTGTGGTTAGATTTTTGCTTCACCCATTCACCAGTCATCTACTCAATGGTCAGTTTA